TGTAACCTACACACTTTGGTTTAAAGAAAAACTTAATTTATTCTGTTTATTTTTTAAAACCTAGCTGAACGAATTTTAGCAACATTTATGTTGCGCACATATGTCACAACGAAAAGATTCTTAAAACTAATTTGATCCAAAGTGATTGTATGATATTCCGCGTTTTGCCCTCACAATATTTTAAGTTGTCATTTTAAAACAAACAAAAAACATGATTTATAAACCAAATTGTCAATGTAGCTCATAGGCAATATCTGGCATGAAAGGGTTAACACGAATATTTAAAATCAATTAAATTTTTCCAATAAAATCACAAATTGAGAAGTGACCTCTTTAGACCCTTTGGCAGTCAAGCGTTATAATTTTTTTTCTTTTGTGCAAAAGTAATGGAGCTTATATTAAAAAATCATGTTTTTATTAATCCAATTATTTGGTTATTTTTAACTTTTGCTAGATAACTGGGTCAAATTACTAAAACTGCTAGCATTTGTATCATATTTCTTTTACCGTTTATTAATTTTTTTCTTCTAGATACAAAAATTCAAGCTGGCTTATATGCCAATCCTTATCTAAGTAATTTCTAATTCTAATTTAAAATAAGAAAAACGTAATATTTTATTAAATATTCACTACATACTTTGTGCTGTTTTGTTTCCTTGTCAACAAATAATTATTCATATGTATTTTCTTCGAAACTGCAAACAGATTTATGACATAATGTAAATGTTTGCCATTCATTTTATTGCCATTGGGAATTATATAACGCATTGAACATGTACGTATATATGTACATATGTATATATGCATCAGTTTATTTCACTTAAAAAGTAAAATATTTAACCAACCTAATTCCTTTGACAGGTAATATGGAAAATAATTTATTTTAAAAAGTTATATTGTACATAGCACTCACATATTTTTGGCAAAACCTTCGTTCGAGCTTCTCCTCTACTTTGTAGTGTCTGTCTTGATGTTTTCACACAAGCGGAGGGACATAGAAACTAATGACGCCTCCGAACAGAGGGTCAAGATTGGGCGATTTAGCGCCAATTTGGCGATATTTTTTTTGATATTTGCGCGTAAAAATTTAGAATATCGCCTTGGCCGATTTTGAGCGATTTTTTCCCTTAAAATAAATTTTTTGTATGCTGCCATGTAAATTGGTCGAAACATATGAAAATTGCATATATCGATTTTGAGTAGATTAGCTTAAATAGTTATGTACTAATTTATCGCAGTTTTCGTATTTCAGTAATGATTTGAAAAATTTTCAACGGAATTGGTGAAGGGACTACAGAGATATAGCATTTCATCATAAGGGGGCGGTGCCACGTAGATTTTCCATGCATACAACAGGGAGTCGGTAACGTCGATAACTATGTTTAACCGGAGATTATTGTTAACCAGACATTGAGTAACCGGCCCTAAGACTAACGATATACTGCAGCACTCAAGATCTGTTTCATAGGGCAATGATGGAAACATATCTACTAGTGTATCAAAATATGTGAGAGCATGAATTATTAGCAGCCGTATGCATTTTTTGAATGCACTTCTGAAGTGACAAATCGCGACCTTTAAATGATTTTTAAAAAATCTATAAAAATAGGCAATAATATTTCTCATAAATAGGAAGAAAATTAGAGGGTAGGGTTTTGAAATTAAAAAAAAACAAATTTTTTTCGATGGGACCCTAATATATATAGCTAATGGGCGCATTTCCCCCGCCTCCCTTGCGTCCACCTCCAACAAAGCTTGTTAGCCACTTAAACCCACCTCTGACAACTGTTTCACCCGTAGCTGTCACGGGTGGGACGTGCTTCACTGTTGAATTATTCTTATCTAACTATGTGGAAATGAAAATGCAATTGTGGTAAACATTTGCAATGAATTTCTAACATTATGTAACAAACACCTGATGCAACCTCAACTTCTGTAATTAAATATAACAACTTTTAGCTTTTTTTGTCACGGGTGAGACAAGGCCAATACGGCTTAATAATAACTCATAATATAGATAAAGCATTCACACAATTTTACTAAAAGCAGCTAAGTTCTACTATACAATTTTCTACCAAACACTTGAATTATGGATCGCAAATTATTTGACAGTACTTTAAACTCGTGCATAATATTTACTTAGAACTTGATTTGCAATCGTAAACAAAGGTAATAAAAATTCATTTAAAGCTTTAGCTTGTTAATTTTTGGTTGATTTATTAATTATTAATTTTTACAAATGGCTCATTCCACGGTAATCGATACCGAATGAAACGAAAATAAACCGAATAATTTGACTGTATTATTTCCAATAAGTAAGAGTAAATAAATCTAACCTTCAAGACTGAAAGCCAAAATTCCAAAATTTATCTCAAAATCAGATATTTTTTTTACTTTAGGTTATACCATTTACAAACCCATATGATAGGTTAATTTTTTTTTCAAAATTTACAAGACTGATTTTCGTAGTCTATTATCTTTTTTGCATTGTTACGCCGTCAGTGGAGAGAACAATTCGTTAGCATTGTAACGGCGTAATTTTCAAATTTTTACGGGCAAGTACTAAATATTTTATTATACTGGGTGGCGCCGAATGAGCTATATGGTTTGAATTCTTTATAACAGTTTTTTTTTTTCTCTATGCCAACGGGATCCACGCCTGGAAATGACCTGCCAGCAGCGTTGCCGAATGCTTTTGCTGAAAAATCGTAATTTTACCTTGAAAAAATCGTAATTTCGTCCAAAAAAAAACCTAAAATTTTTGGTTATGATACTGGGTGGCGCCGAATGAGTTATATGGTTTGAATTCTTTTTAACAGTTTCCTTTGGGGATATTTGAGAGAAAGAGTGTACGGTAACAAACCAAGAACCATTCTTCAACTCCAAACCAACATTCGAAATGAAATCATGGCCATTACACCCGAAATTCTGCGAAAAGTTATGGAAAATATGCTAAAAAGAGCACGTATGTGCGAAGCAGAAAATGGACATCACTTACAGGATATCATTTTTCAAAGCTAATTGCAAAAAATTCCCCAGTAATAAACTGTATTCAAAAAAAAAAATTATAATAATCGCATAAATAACAAGTAAGAAAGTCTAAGTTCGGGCGGAGCCGAACATTAAATACCCGGCGCAAGTATTAAATATACGTTTTTTACCTTTCCGAAAGCTACCGCTACATGGTAAGCCGGGGTGTATCAATTTTGAGTAAATTAGCGTCCTTAAATTTCGAAATATTGAAGTTTCAAGCATTTCTGAAATTTACCGTTATATGAAAAGCGGCCGTAATTTTAGTCCGATTTCAATAATTTTCAAAGTTTTGCTTCTGTGTGGCAAGTGTAATAACCACACCGAGTTTGGTACAAATTGGTAGAACGGTTACCGATATACATATATGTGATCATAAGTGGGCGGTGCCACGCCCGTTTTCCAAAATTTTACCATAAGCGTATTTCTTGGTAAAGAATTGTTGCAAGCGTCAATTTTGAATAAATTAGCTTTAATATTTACTGATTTATCGAAGATTTTGTATTTCTCTAAATTACCGTTATATGGGATGTGGGCGTGGTTATTGTCCGATTTTAAAAATTTTCGGCCATTTAGTATGCTGTACCAAGGCCAACATCTGTGCCAAGTTTGGAAGAAATTGGTGCACCGGTTACCAAGGTATACACATGTAACCATAAGTGGGCGTGGCTGCGCCCATTTTCCAAAAATTTATAATATTCTTATTTTTCGTCTGAAAATTATTGTAAATATCAATTTTGAATGAATTATCTTCAGTAGTTTCTAAAATATCGCAGTTTTCGTACTTCTGGAAATTACCGTTATATGGGAGGTGGGCGTGGTTACAGTCCGATTTCGCCCATTTTCAATACCATCCGTCCTACGCCAGAAGGAAGTGTACGTACCAAGTTTCGTTAAGATATCTCAATTTTTACTCGAGTTATCGTGTGCACAGACGGACGGACGTACGGGCGGACGGACGGACAGACAGTCACCGCTTAATCGATTTCTCTTTTCATTCTGATCATTTATGTATACATTTGTCTATATCTATCTCGATTCGTTTTGCCTGTTACAAACAACCGTTATGTGAACAAAGTTATAATACCCTTGTGCACAAGTGCGCTCGGGTATAAAAAAGTTATAAACCATTTAAACCATATAGCTCATTCGGCGCCACCCTGTACATTGAAGCAAAGCATATTTTAATGTCACTCCCGTCACAAAATACACAAAATAGTTATTTTTTGAAGTAAAACACATCTTGGACAGTGTAAAAAAGCTGACGAAAGTAACGCTATGACACAGGGGAATATGTGCGAATTGCTTTTAAGTATTTATTTACTTTTACAATCGAGATAAAGAGTCCGATCAGAATATTGTATGTGTTCGTAAAATCCGATTTTTTGAGAAATAAAGTTAGTTTAGTTGTCTAATAATGTGTATTTATGTAATAATGCTCAACTTGTCACACCCCTCACAAAGTCAAGCCACACCCGTCACAGTTGAATTTGGAACATATAATCTATAATTTCCAATAGAGGTAAGCAACTTTGACGTAAATGTTGAAAATGTTTACTTAACTATACAGCGAACTATTTAAAACCATAAGCAGACGACATAATTAACAGGAAACTCTGACACAAGTAAGTAGTAGCTAATTTGGTTTGCGTACTCGTCATACCCGTCACAGTGACTAAAATTCAGATAACTCGTTCGGATAAATTTTTTTTTTTTTGATTTTTTTTCTAGGCATTGTGTATATCTCGGAAACCTATTAGAAAATACTCATTTTAAAGAATTTTATATTACAGTTTAAGAAAAATTAAGCCTTAAAATGTGAGTTGAAATGTCACACCCGTCACCGTGGAATGAGCCAAATGTTTTATCCACACGTTTGTTAGTTTTATAGTAAAAACATTTTTTGCACTAAGGTTCAGTTTCTCATGGAACCTCCCATATGTAAAAATGCACTAATGAAAATTTCTTACTAATCCTAAATCTCTTTATTTACATAATATATATATGTATATATTTTCCGAAATAAAATGTCAGTAATAGATACATTGAATTACAAATCAAAAAATGTTAATCACCACGAGAGTATTATTTGTTCAAAAATTTCGATAATAGAGATACGCAAAATAACTATGCAATTATAATAGCATTCGATTTTTCACAGGCTTTAAATTGGTCGAGCTGCAGGTTGCCATTAAATTCGTTTTCAACTTTGATTTTCATTCCCAGTTCTTCTCCTCTTTGGCTTCAAGAGCTCCCGACAACAGCAAGCACTTGATTTTTTCGCCGCAATCCTTTTCATTCCATCATATCAGCAACAGCGTTAGTGCATGCAGTATGCGACCAGCAGTGTCAACAAAGTCGCAATGCTGGAATTGGCATAATTGGTTGCTGAATTGGTCGCTCTCAGCAAGGCGGAACTTTCGGCCAGCTCAATATTCGATACTGACCGTCGCGCATAGTAATTGCCTGGCAATCTCATTATATCCGGCTGCTTGCCCGGACTGAGTGGCGCCAATGCAACTGAACCCTCTGGAATTTCTATTGGCGGTAAGGGGGTATTGAGCGGCGCCAATCGTACGCCAGTTTCCAAATTGCTGACCGATGCAAGGGCTACAGTACTGGCCATTGTCGTTGTTGTCGTCACTGGTATGCTGGTGCTTGTTGCAGATGTGGCTATGTCTGTGACACCCGCAGTTGGTGGCGGAGAAGCTGGTGCGGGTGTCGTTTCAGCCGGCGCTGGAGCGGGATAGCAGGCAATCTTTTCCACTTCAATAGTTTTTGTACTGTCAGCAGGATCTGGCTCAGGTACACGCACCGGTACGCATATAATTCCACCAGGTGCTGGCGGTTGCTCTGGCGTGGCGGCCGCACCAGGAGCGGGCGCGGGAACTGCATTACCAGTTGGTGCGGGTGCGCCGCCAACAACTGAAGCTGCATCACCAGTGCTGGGAGCAGGTGCGGCATTGAGTGCAGGAGCAGCAACTGCAGCAGTGATTGCTGCACCTGTAGCTGCAGCGCCCACAGCGGCTGCTGTATTGACACCGCTACCTGCAGCTGACGTGTCGAAGGGGGCAAGTTGGGGTGCGCCATCTGAACTGGGTGCGACTGGTTGTGTCGCTGCTGCTGCTGCATTGGGCGGTGGTGCATAATTTTGTGGCATGCTGGGCTGAGCAGCGGCAGCGGCAGGTGCTGCTGCGTTAGTATTGATGACAGTCGTACCGGAACCAGCATCCGCAGTTGTCACTGAACCTGGTGGGCCATTATTAATGATGATGATGCGGTCGTCTCCACCAGAGGCTGGCGGAGCGCTGCCACCACTGCTGTAACCGCCTCCAGCAGGAACGCGTTCGACAACTCTGGTTTGTGAAGGTGTTAGTGCGTAGCCGAGTAGAGCGCCACCAAGAGCGCCAGCAGCCAGACCTGAGCCTGTGGGATAAAAAAGAGGTGGGGTTGAAAGTTAAAATAAAATTTAAACAGCGTCGGAATTAAAATGAAACATTTTTTGCATGCATCTATATATTGGGACGGAATTAACGAGATGGAATGAAGGAAGTAAATAAAAGGAGATGGAGTAAAAGAAGTGGAGGCGAGTGGAGTGGCCTGAAAAGGAGTGGAATGGGACGGATGGAACGGAGTGAAATGAAATAGAATCGATCGGAATGAAGTGAAATAGAATGGAATCGATTGAAATTGAAGGCAGTGGAATGAAATAAAAAAAATTAATTAAATGTATTGAAAGGAATGGAATGTAGGGAATAAAACAGAGTCGAGTGAAGTAAAACGAAACGAAATGGTTTGGAATGGAATGAAAATAATGAAATAGAATGGATTGGATGTAAATGAAATGGACATGGAATGGAGTTACGAAAGTAAAATTCAAAATAATTGGATGGACCGAAAAGTAAGCGAGCGGAGTCCAGTAAAATGAATTGGAATGGATTCGCTTCGATTGGAATGAACAACAGTGAAATGAAATGGAGTGGAATGTAGGGAACAGAATGGAATGAAGTTGAGTTTAATTGAGTGAAATGTAGTGTAGGGCATATGTAATGATATCGCATGAAATGGAATGAAATGAATTCGAATGAAGTAGACTGACAAGTTTGGAATGGAATGAGCAAAAATGGGCTAGAGGAAGTGGAATTAATTCAAACTGAATGTAAATGACGAATGAGGGAATGAAATAATAAGGAATCGAATGGAAGGAATGGAAAAGTAAGAGAATGAAATGGATTGGAAGTAATGGAATGTATTGGAATCAAAGGAAATGGAAGCATTATGGATTTAAATTAGGGCTCGAGAAATAACTAATGCTATACCCAGACGAAGCCGAATTCGGGCTTTAAAGTTAGATTGATCTAAAGGGAATAAGGTTATGAGTTGTGCACTTAGCCATATACACACAGTTTAAATAATATTTTCTTTTATTTAATCACACCAATTTACTAACCGAATCCAAGTCCCGATGATGACTTAACCGGCGCTTGTGGATAGTATGTGGCACCGGCCGGCAGCGATGAACCTGCTGGTAGGAAGGTAGCTCCTGCGGGCACTGCTGCTGCTGCCGGATAGTAACTAGCACCGGCAGGTACTGCACCATGCGATGGATAATAAGTAGCTCCTGCAGGAACATGACCAGCTGGATGGTAACTAGCACCAGCAGGCAAAGCACCAGCGGAAGGATAATAAGTGGCACCGGACGGAATGCCGCCGGGTGCGTGATATGTCGCACCGGCTGGCACCGAAGAGTGATACGTCGCACCAGCTGGCACTGACGAGTGGTATGTCGCGCCGGCTGGCAAATGTGATGGCGAATTATAATATGTAGCGCCAGCTGGTAAGCTCTGTTGTGGATAACTGGATTGTACGCCCTGGACATTAGTACGCTGTATGGGCGTATGTGAACCGCTGCCAAAGCCGCCACCGCCACCAAATCCGCCTGTAGAATTTACGCGTGGCCGATAAGTCTGTGCGGGTGTCACTGCACCACGATATGCTGTATTAGATGCCGCAGCATTGCTGGCTGGTGCGCTGGGATTGTAAGTCTGGGCTGGTGTCATTGAGGCGCGATTGCCTGTATTAGTTGCGGCTGCATAGTTTGGAGGCGGTGCATTTGGTTTGTAAGCAGACGACGAGCTGATAGGTGCTGAAGCAACAGGTGCAGTAGCTCTGTAGGATGGTGGTGGCTCGTGTATGTTTGTGCGTGCACCGCCCACTGTATTCGCGGGCGAATATGCCGGAGGTGGGCCTTGTGATTTGGGTACATTCCAACCGATGGGCGAGGCGGTGGCAGCGGGACGTGACTGCGAGTGACTTGTTGCAGAACTTTGCGGTTTTGGCGGTGACGAATGGTAACCGCCACCATAGCTTAGCTTTGTTGCATCTGAATGGGAATAGGAGGGATGCGAAGCAGACGACGATGAATGCGAATTGTAGCCTCCATGCGATGTGGAAGAGGTACGGCGTGCCGAATATGAACCGCTGCTGCTGGAGCTGCGACGACCACTGCTACTGTAAATACGTTTTGCATCCACGAAGAGGCAATTCGATAACAGCAGGCATACGGTGACAATACCAAATACCCGCAGACGTGTTGGATTCATTTTGATTTTCTTCGACACAATGCGACGGTGTAGCATATGCTACGTCTATATGGTTTTGCTGTAAATAAAAAAATCATAATAATTGGATGAGTGGAACAACACAATAACATAAAATTATTTGTAAACAAGGAGAAAGGCGTTTTTGCAAAGAGTGCTGTTGTGATGGGTAGCCCTAAAAAATGTATACGCCGTTAATAACCTTAGCGGTATACAGACGACAGTTGCTGTTGGTGCAACGGACGCAAGCCGGAACAGGGCTGACGCCAGTTGGAAATAAAGTGAAGTAAAATACCCCAAAAGTGAATTGTCTCAACATTTTTTGAAGAGTTCATACAATGTTGAGTTTCTTCATTAGCCCTATGACCTTTTTTAATCCAAAAGCCTATGTGTTCCCCATACCATGACCCTTGTTCTAAAAACTGGAAAAGTCAAACAAAAATTGTTCAAAAAAAACTGTTTTATTTTTTTATATTCTTAGTTCACGTCCACTTAGATTTGTATAAAAAATATTTTTGATCTGACCAAGATTTTTAAACCTCTACAACATGAAATATGAAGGAGGTGAATAAAAAATGTTAGCTGTGGGAAACACCTTGTATCAATAAACCTGTAACGAAAAAAAAGACGTTTCCAAATACCTTATTTTTAATTAAATTTCTTTTTTGCAGTTGAGTGCCGCACACAAGAATAAACATTTTTCGACCATACATACACAAAAGTGAAGATATATTCAAATGTAATCTAATATAATAAAATATCGATAATAAAATCGATGAAAAATTCGATAAAAATTTCGATAGCAAAATCAGTAATAATATGGGTAGCAAGATCTATTAGAAACTCGATAAACCATATCGATAAAAATATCCATAACAAAATCGATAACAAATATCGACAACATAACCGATAAAAAAATCCATAACAAAATCGGTAAATATCGATAACAAAATCGATTACAAAATCGATAAATATGGATTAATAAATCGGTAAATAACGATAAAAAAATCGATAAATATCGATAGCATAATCGGTAACAAAATCGATAAATATCGACATCAATATCGATAAAAATATATATAAAAAATCCATAAAAATATCGCTAAAAATATCCATAACAAAATCGATAAAAAATATCGATAACAAAATCGATCAAAAATCGCTTAGAAAACCGACAAATAACAACAATATCGATAACAAAACCAATAACTATATCGATAAAAAATATCGATAACAAAATCCATAAAAATATCGATAACAAAACCGATAAAAATATCGATTATTATATCGATAAGTCCCGAGAATCCCGAAAATCTCTAAAATCCAAAACAGTTTACAGATTGAGTCTCTGTGTCTCCATCTATGTATGTATATCCTTTCCTCTATAATTACCTTTAATTTAATCTTTCTTCCTCTATCTTCATCTTCACTTTTATCGGTATCCTCATCTTCATCTTTTCGTTTATATTTATCTTTGTTTTTACTTTTATGTTTATAATTTTCTTCATCTACATATTCCCCTTCACCTTTGCTTTATATAAGTAAAGTGTTTAAATTTGCCATGATCTTCATTTTTATCATCACGTATCATTCATTTATCTTTACGTATCTTTGTTTTATTTTTATTTTTGCCTTTGCCTTTATTCTTTTCTTTATCTATGTACGTACTCATCTATACTTTCATTCTTGTATTGGTCCTTTTCTAAGTGTTATTCTTTAACCTTTTATTAACAAGTTTTTGTTAAAATATCACAATGTACATACACTCAAGAAGCACTTGTTTCAGCCCCAACCATTTCCGTTGCACCATTTTCGGTGCATCATTTCCGTTGCCCCATTGCCTTGCACCATTTCCGTGTGCAATTTCCGTTGAATTCGCCAATTCACTCCCAACCAACCAACCGCCGCTAAAGAAGTTACACTTCAATAAATAGCCGTGTTTTGTAGATGCAGTTAAAGAAAATATGCACATGAAAAGTCCCGATTTTTTTTTTATTCAAAAAATGTGTAATATTCCAAAAGCGATGACACTTTTACCCGACAATTGTTTGCTTATCAGGGGGATCGGGAACGTAAGTAGGTCATAAAGCATTTCCAGTAGTTCTGGAGACACTATTGCATTTGCTTATTTACATACATACACATACACCTACATATGTATGTATGTATTTCCCTTGTGCTTAAAATTTATTTAGTAGTTTTGTCGCTTGTCACTCATAATTAAGATGAGTAGATTTAAAAACAAACAGGCCGTGTCGTCTATTTGCGCTCAAAAAGTGCGCATTGGAATTTACAGGAGGCTTCAATTTACTAAATTACGCTCTTTATTTATGTATATGTATTTACATGTATAAATTTGTAACTTTAGACATTTTCTGTGATGAAATTTGCCACTTTTACTTGTGTTGATTTTATGACAGATAAGCGCCCATGAAATTATCAAAATGGCGAATGATGGGATGATGAATAACAAAGGGATGAGCAGGTACTTCGTAAAGCGGCTGAAAATACGATTTATATACATATTTACATATTAATATACATACATACATATATCAAGCTACTAAAAACACAAATATTAAGATCTTGATTTCGTTGAGTTATGACAAAAACAAGTTTTAGAATATACACGTAAAACCTTCACTGTAATAAAAACAGTATTCCTCGCAATAGCAGTGTTGTACTTGTTCACTAATTTCCTTTGCGAATATTATTTGTGTTGTAAATTAAAGCACAAAATATGTATGAATTAATTATCTACTTTGCATTTTCTATTGAATTTACTGTATGTACATAAAATGGTTTGAACAAAATTAAAATAACATTTACTCAGTTACCGACTAACTATCATCATTTGCTTTGTACATTGTTTATTACCTACCAGTATTTGCAACTCAGTGACGACAAACAATTGATGCGTCATCGCTGAATCATTGCATTTTCAACAAGGCGATCAGATGGTGTGATTAACATTGATATTCAACTCCAGTTGGCATCAATAAAATTGCTTGAGATATACACGATTATGATTCGAAGCATAAAAAAATGTGCGCCAGATGAGATTAGAACTGTTGATCTCAGATTTGCTTAACGAGCGATTACTCGAAATCTAATCGCATTATCACTGTACGAAATCTATGTCAAGTGAAACCGGTTTATCTAGCTCTTAATTTTAAAACCTGGAACCGGTTTTTTTTCAAATTGCAATTTTTCGAACAACTCAAGAACAGGTTTTGAACAAAAAAAAATGCGAATAATCGAACACCCTATTACACACCAATGCCGCGTATGGAATTCCATTGATTAAGTGCGTAGAGATTGATCTCCATTTGGATATACCCGTGTAAGATTAGTAGCAACTAATTAATGCCCCATTATACCCCAAGGGGACTAATTACGGAATACTCTTTTCAGAAATTAGTCGTAAAATTTTTCAGTCAAAATTTGAGTTTGAGGTTATTTCAATTATTTTAAAAGTATAAATTTTACAATTTGGGTGCACGAGTTGGTTACAAAATAAGATACCATTCAAATGCAAATCAAAGCATTAGGATGAGTTCAAATTTTTTTGTTTTGGTATGTAAATTTCTGAGCTTTTTATAAGTATTTATGTAACATACACAAACTGATATAATAGACAACATTATTATTTATTAACAGCGCGTGAAAGCGCGAAAATCAATTTCCCCTTTTAATTAAGTATGTTCATCTGCCGGCTGCGTGGATCAGTGTTGCCATTGAGAATTTTCATAAAGTCGCAGAAAAAGGGGTTATTGACTAAAAAAGAGTCACCATATTATTTTTGCTTTTCTTTACCAGTAAAACAATAAATCCGTTGAAACAGGTTTGCAAGCATAAACACAAATCTAGTTGCTGCAAGGAGAAGAGTAGCATTTCCTTTAAAAGTTTTTAGGTGTTGCATTTTTTCGTACTTATAGAAGGAAATATTTTTTAATAGCATGGTTTTGTTAAGATTTCTAAAAAATCTCTGAAAAGGGGCAAAAATCGCACATTATTTTGAAAAATTAAAATTTTCAAAAAAGTCGGGTCAAAGGGTATGGCGCTTAAAACGGGATCAAATTGCCCCTTTAGTCGCACAATGGCAACACTGGCGTGGCTTTGTCTGCCATTCAACAACTCTTATGCACTCGAAGTTTCGGTCGAGTGGTTATTTAAATGTGTCAGTGATTAATGAGGCTGCGGCGGAAAGCATAAGTGCCCATGAGCAGTGCTCAACATTAACAGGTACGTGAGACGTCAATCGAAGGTTTTATAGTGTTATGTGCAAAAAAAAATAAATTCGTTGCACAGACGAAATCAAATACTTATGCAGATTAAACTGAACTTATGTTTGCAAAATTGGATGTACATTAGGTTGGTCCAAAAATGCATGTGAAAAAGTAAAGTCGGAATTTTTATGCTCTCACACCCTAGGATTGTTCTATACCGAAGAAAAATAAACCCTTATTTTTTTATTTTGAAATCAAAAGATATTTAAAGGTCGCTCAAAGCGCCTAAAATTTTCCATGTATTTTATATGGGGGAAAAAGAACTTTTCGTAGAAATGGTATAGAATAGTTAAGAATCAATATTTTTCTACCAGAAAACTCTGTTTATCTGCAGAAGATTCCCAATAATAATACCCAGTTGTTTATTTAGCCATTTTTTCATCGCAACTATAATTTATGGGTCCTCCAAAAACCCACAAAAACCTCGAAAAATGCAATGGGGCGACCAATAAAAAATCGTTAGTATTAAAAAATGGTTAAATAAACAATTGGGTATTATTATTGAAAATCTCCTGAAGAGAACCAGGGTACTCCGATCGAAAACTATTGATTTTCAAGAATTCTATACCCTTTCTACGAAAAATTTTATTTTTCCCATATAAAAATACATGGAAAACTTTGAGCGCTTTGAGCGACCTCTAAATGTTTTTTGATTTGAAAAAGATAAATTGGGGTATACTTTTTTCGATATAGAACAATCCTAGGGGGTGAGAGCATTATAATTCCGACTTTACTGGTTTTGAGCCACCCTAATGTACCTAGATTTCCGTAT